TCGGAACTACGAATTTTCGACTAGAACAACATGAACGCGCTCTAAAGTTTGGCTTCACTTTACTAAATGTGACGGTTGAAGACGAAACCAGTGACGATCTAAGTGTGAGGCATCGTTTTAATCTGCTCCAGCAGCTAAATAAACTGTTTAAGATATCGGAAGCTTGATATGTTAGCGTCCATTGCCACCATTGTTATCAGCTAATGGTGCGTTCGCTTTATCCTCGGAAATTCTAACTTCCCAGTAGGAAAAATCAAATGAAAAAGGACGGCAAAAGGAATGAAGATACACAGTAAATTTAGTTCACAGTAAAGATTTTTGCTTCAGTTTAATTATCAGCTTATAAAACTACAAGGACGATGTTAAAATACAAACAGTTGTATGTTATTTATCATGATATTTATCAAATATGCTTATATATTGAAAAAAATATATATTTAATTATAAAAGAAAATTAAAATAATAAACACCCAAAAGTATCGAAAATTGGTACCGTTAAGTACCGGTATCGATTCGTAGGTACCGGTAATTAGTACCGGATCGATTCAAATGTCAAAGGTACCCATCCCTACTCCTGAGTATGTCATAAGTGTCTTCAGAAGACTGTTAACGATCTATTCATTTAAATCAGGTGTTGGAGGCGGGACGCCTCATGCCTCATTTTACCGAATGAATGTGGTACGGTTTCCATGCAGCTTCCGAACAGGCTGCGGACCGTCTGTGGAACGTCTCAGAAATTTTTCCCAAAAGAATACCGATTCTTGAGGGTTCACATGATAAGGGCTACTGATAGCAATGATCGAACATTTGGCATCATTTAAGTATATTTAAAGGGGAACTGAGCAGTTTTGGCTTACTTTAGCACCCTCTAGTGTCCGTGTGTAGAACCGAAAGCAAAACGTTTCTCCTCGCTGTGCATTCATCTCGTTAACACCTTCATCTAAAAGCTGAAACGCCTCCCCAGCCTTCTTCAGAGTCTACAGGAGTGGTTCATCACCAAATTCAAATCACCTGCGTTCGTGATCTAAAGCATGCAGGAAACGTCCCAAACACGTCTCACTTCCTGTCTGGGTCATGTTATTTTTTACACTTCATGAAAGTCTGCATGCGGTGTCCCAAAAAAAAAAAAAAACTTTCCAGAGCGCCACATCCTGATCCGCACCACAGCCGGTGTGAATGATCTTATTGGATGATTTTTGGTCTTTGTGGAAGCCGTACAGAAACCAGACCATCTCTGTTCCACACTCGGTAAAAACGAGGTCTGAAGGTAAAGGTCAGAGATCAGAAACACAGACAACCTTATCTGTGACGTGTTAATGGGATATTATTGTTATTCTGAATTAAGTTTCTGTGTAAATAATGATTATCTTACCCATGTCCCGGTGTTGAACTGTAATAGTGCTGCGTAAGATGACTGTTCAGCTCAAAAGATCAAGTTCTGTTTATATTTAAATGCTTTGATGTTTCATTATCAGCCATGGCTGAATCCAGATATATATTGTTTTACATCTGAAGGGGCAAAGGTGGCGCAGGAGTTTAATGCCTGTCCCGTAATCAGAAGGTTGCAGGTCCGAGCCCAGCTAAGTTTGTCGCTGCCATAGTGTCCTTGGGCAAAATTGGTCACTGGAGCAATGAGTAAGGCTGGGGTAAACGATTACTTTTAAAACGATTATTCTGACGATTATTTTATCGAAAAGTCGACTTTTCTAATGACTATTTAGATGATTAATCTAGTGATTATTTTTCTATTGCACAATTAATAAAAACCAGAAAATCTCAAATACATTCCTCAAAAAAATTGATAAGTTGTTACTGTAAGAGAATAAACACTACAGGCCTCCCATTTTGTAAAACACTGCTTTTATTGTGTTGGTTGGTTATGTTCTGGTGACATGTAGAACTTGGGAGTGCAGGCTGCTGCCTGAGAGGTGGTTGGAGACGGAGTGTCTCCATGCTGCTTTGTTTTGGTCACTTATGTGCGTGAGGCGAGCGGTGTTACGACCCTTCCTAGGGAGTTTGGCTCGTGTGCAAAAAGGAAGGGACAATAACGGGATTTAAAAGTTAAAATGATGATCAGGTTTATTTACAACTACAAAAAAACAAATCTTTCCATCCACAGGTTGGGAATAATAAAACTAATTCTGCCTGTGGGGAATTAAAACAAAAGTACAAATAAGTAGGGATGTCCCACTGGGAAACGATTATAGGGTTCTGGACCAAAATAAGGATCTCCAAAGGTCCAAACTCTAAACTGGGTGGTTAAACCAAACTCAGGTGATATTTTAAACTAAACCGAAAACCCACAACACTCTAAATGCAATAAAAGGGAGATCTGCACCACAAAAAAGATGAACTCTAAACCAAAACGTAACAGCTTATCCCAACGCAAGAAGCTGTTAGCGAAAATGCTAACAGTAGCTTTACCAACGTTAAGTTCAAGTTACCAAGTTTAAATAAACCAAAAATACCCAGCAAAAAGACCAGCACGGAGGAGAGACTGCTACCACCAAAACAGCTCTCCTCATGTCTGAAAGAAGCTCCTTTCTGAAGGGAGAAACGCTCCCGGTGTGGTGTTCTACATCTGCGGTAGAGACGGAGCAGCGCATCTGACCCCGGAAGTTGATGTCCGTTGCCGGGAGACGAAGGCGGGCTAAACAGGAAAGGAATCTAGTAGTGGACGGGCATTGTTCCGGGTCTTCGGTATTTGGCGGAGATGTTAGTGAAGGCGGAGAAGAGGGCGAACTAGAGGTAAAACAGGCAGATTCCTCCTTTATTTACAAACTCCTGGGGATGCAACAAGTGGGCGTGGTGCGTCGACTACCGGATCTGACATCGACAAATTTTTAGAATCGAGCCGTCGACGTCATCGATGCGTCGCTACAGCTCTAGCAAAGAGAAGGTCATGTGGTCTGATGAGTCCAGATGGACTCCGTTCCAGAGTGACAGTGCATCAGGGTAAGAAGAGAGGCAGATGAAGTGATGCGCCACCATGCCTACTGCCTACTGTAAAAGCCTGTGGGGGCAGTGTTATGATCTGGGGTTGCTGCAGACGATGTGTCCTCTCTATCTTTCCAGTTTTTTTTATGCGTTGGACAGTTCTTAACTCAACTTTAGTTGTTTCTGCAATCTACTTAGATGTTTTCCCTGCTTGATGCATGCCAATAATCTGACCCTTCTTAAACAGACCACCAGATGTGTCTTTCCACATGGTTGTTTAAGAAATAAGAAGCAACTCATTCCACCTTGGTGCATTTGTTGCCATGCAGTAGATTTCTAATAGGAGGCTCAAACCTATTCGTTTAGTGAAAGTCTGTCCATCTTTTTGGGGGGCAGTCTGCATCTGTACTTACAGAAATGCTCATGCATTCTCTGTGATTGACATCTGTATGTAAACAGATGTCGAATGCCATTAGCTAACGGTGAGCGGTGCTCAACTGAAATTGCACGAGGCTCTATGGGATGAGGGGGGTATAGCCTACGTTATACCAACGTAAAGAGTCAGACTATAACTTTTATGGATTTCTAAAAAAAAATCCAACATAACTCCTGAAAGGGAAAACTCCAGATTGCTGCTTTAACAGAAATGTGTCTGAAGCTGAACAAAACTTCCAAAACTGAAACTTGGCTCAAGGATAAATAATCAGAACTTTTCTAGCCTTCTATTTACAAACTCTAAAGCACTAGCGCTACATGCAAATGATTTAAAGATCCTGAAATGATGTGAAAGCCACTGGGGTCAGAGAAGCAGGTCTCGTTCTAAAGTTCTCTCTGGATGCAGCAGAGGGATGGGATACAGGAATGCCTTTTTACACTGTCCACCTGGCGCTGCAGGGTTGAACATCAGATCAATGCTGCATTTAAATGAGAAAATTTCCTCTCTGGAGCGTGTGTAACGTAATCAGTTCCCTTAAAAGGTGGGGGCAGCTACAACAGAAACCACTGTTATCACCGGTCCTGCAGTCTGAAAGGTCAAGTCCACCACTTAAAACAGTCAAATTAGAATCTTTAGTGCATAAAAAAACCCAGTGTTAACTGAAAACCAGGACACATCGAAGTACAGTCTCATATTTGAAGGTCTCCAGATCTATCTTGTACAGAAATTCTGCCTGACTGAGTTTAGAAAAAAAAAGGTCAATTTTATCCAGATATGGGACGCAGATCCATTTTCCTCCCCCCTTTGTTGCAGGTTAGGACAAAGTAGAGCCGTCTGGCCGGGCAGACAGGAGCCTCCTATCGCCTCAAAATGCAGGATGAGTCATTTGGAAAATTCCGGAAAGGATTTTAACAAGCCCGTCCTCCCTCCTCCTTGTTTTTAATTACACACTATCCTATTCCTGTCTTAGGGCGTGAATTCCGCAGGTAATCTAACGCTGCTTGGACGCACGTCAACCTGCAGCTAACCGGGGATCTTCAAACATGTCCAAACTGCCAATGTCCAAACACACTTCCTCTCTCTCTATCACACACACACACACACACACACACGCACGCACGCGCGCACACACACACACCAGAGAGAGAGAGAATCCATAGCAAACACACTTAAAATAGCATCTGCTGCACTAAGTCAGGCCAAGTTATGTCACATCAGTAATTGAGATGTTATCTACACAGAAGGAGGATGCACTCAACGTGGACTGCTCTAATTTCTATTTGAGCTGAGTCAGCGCTCTTTCTCCACCTCCTCCCTTGTGACTAAAGCACCTCAATCCTGTCAACTAACAGCTTCAACTGTGGCTGCAGCTTTAATGCACTGGAGATCTGGCCACAGCACGCGATGATTACTCTGCTGCGGCTCAGGGACTGGGTTCACCTTCACTTGGGTTCCTGGTGAAAAATGTGCATGCCAGTCTTACAACGCTCAGTGGGTGAGGGCCAGTCAGACCCTCCTGTTTACTTTGTGGCGAGTTTTTTTTCCTCGTGCCCTGTAACAAACAAGCCAGGTGGAAAAATAGCCTCTGAGTTATCACAGCGTCCACAAGTTCCAGGCGACAGCTCACCTTGATTGCAGGTCTTGCCGGTGAAGCCGGGATGGCACTTGCACTTATTGGGTCCAACGCAGTCTCCATGCTTACAGCCCGGCTGACACACAGCTGTTCGGGGAAGGGATTCAGAGACGAAGAGACAGATCAGAGCTGCAACCCAGCAGAGAACTTGTACCAGATCAGGACGGCAAAGCACTTAATCCTGCAGCTTCCTGATTTCCACAAACGTCTGCAAATGATCAAACATTACAGCAGCAATAACGCATCGTATAGAAGAGATATGTTTGTTTGTTTCTCCTGGTGTGACGGGGTTATTATCATCCGCCGATGAGAATGGAGAAGTCATTTTCAGCCAAGCGTATTACGCACAAGGGTTTTCTCCCCATGCAGCCTTTGTGAAAAAATAAATCACCTCTCGGTTGGTGATAAATGAGAAATCTGACCTTTTAACACCAAAGTTTGTGTTTTACCCAGTTTCATTGCTCAGCGCTGATATTTACACTGCCACACTGTTAACAAGGATCACTAAGGATAATGTTTCCCTCTCAGGCTGCAGCCGAAACAATTAAAGCAGCTTATGATTAAAGCTGCCCTTGAGATTTAACATAGATGGTGATAATTGGAGTCTGCACAAAGATGAAGCTCATCTGACTGTGCTTACTGCAGCTTCCTGCTAAGCATGTCTGATACAGCCAAGTGGTCCTAATCTTCATTAAAAGCTTCATTAATTATGTCGCAACAGAAAGTCATCAGAGGACTTAATTATCAATCTGGTAGACGAGTCTGAAAATATTCAAGTGTGTGAGTCTGAGCGAGGGACAGACTCTAGTAACATCTATCGTACCAGCTGGTTTGTCGTATTCCTGGAAAGTTATGATGGTACACAAACACAGGTGATGAAATCCAACTGGTGTGTGTATATCAGAGCGCTGGTGTTAGGATTTAACATTAGGAGGTGGCGGCTACTGGGTTTCATGTGTTCGTGTAGCATGACAGAAGAACAGCCCAACACCGAGTTGGGGAAACGGTCCGTGGAGAACGTAGCACAGTTAAAATGATTTTATCTTCAGCGCTCTGTGACAATCCCTCGTTCATCTAAGGGGACTCGCACACACCCGTGCGTTTGTGTGTGAACACCGATCAATGTAAGCCAATCACTCTGAGATTCTGCAGCTTGAAGTTTGTTTCCACGAGTCTCAGCTCTGCCAACATGCCAACAGGCTGTCAAATTGTTCCCTGCTCAGTTTGAAATAGACCTGGAAGCCATTGTTGCTCAGGCTCAGCTTCTCAAAGAGCCTAAACTCTCTGAATGTTATCATTCCACACCCTTTCTTTCTGTCTCACCCTTCTCATTGTCGCCAGTAAATATTATCTCTACTCTATCTTCTTATATTTAGGTGAGCGCCTGGACAAACTAACTGCTGCTGCTTTAAGGTCACTTCAGCTTCCCAGAAACTAAACTTGGGCACCTTGTGTGCATGTGCACCTTCCTCCTCTGCTCTTCGGTCGCTGCTCTTAATGACTGCAGAGCCTTTCAGTTTAAAAATAACAGATTTACTAAATGGATTGAAACGATTCCACATCTTCTTTGCTTTAACGTGTAAAATAGTCCTGCTGAGTCATGTTTTGGGTTCTTCTTGTTTACTGATAAGCTAGGACACCAGAGGCTGAAAACATTTCTCTGTTGTGAAGCTGAACATTTTAACAATGATTGGCCCGTGTTCTAAAGAGTTTCCACCTCAGAGTAGCATTGGTTCTTCCAAGTACAAAGTAATGTTCAGTTGTAACATATATGTACTTTTTACCATGTTTGCACTGCTGACATTTTACTTCATTGTTGTCTAAAATCCAATTTTTAGGAAAGCAATTGAGCCAAACTCTTCCCTTATGAAAAAGAGGGCAATTTCACGGTCAATCTGGAATATTATTTAAAGGTGCAATAAGTGAGAATTTTACACTGAAATAATCACAAAGCAGGGGTGCCCAATCCTGATGGAGGACCGGTATCCAGCATGTTTTAGGTTTAACTCAGCTGATTTCAATCAGCAGGTGATTAACAGGTAGGGGTGTACATAGTTAACCGGTTAACTGCCGTTAACTCATTAACTGCCATTGATGACTAAAGTCGTCATTTGCATTTTTTTTACTGTGGGCATCGGAACGGGCCGCCGCACCGTGAGAACAAACATCCCAGCTCTAAAGTCGATCTTCATCTGCATACGTCACATGTCACGTGATGAGGATGCAGAAAATCCATGTGTTAGGAGATCATTTTGGGCCGCTGCTGTAAAAAAAAAAAGAGGCGCGAACCGGAAAAGCTTCTGCCGATCACAATTCGACAACAGGTTATGAAAGAACAGATAACGCTCGAAACGCGCTGATTCTTCCTGATGTAAGAGGTGAGTCTACTCTTTGTTTTGTTAGTTTTGGTGTTGATATCATCACAGAGCGCAACGTTCTGTGACTCTTAAAAAAACGGTGAAAACCCTGAAAAACGCAGGCAGTGAAGGGCTTTTGTGTTCAGGAAATGGCTGGCTGTGAGTGAGTTAATGTTGTAACCGGGTAAAATAGTTTTGCCTGCTTCAAGTCCTTCTGCTGTGCTGGGTGCAATATATTTTGTGTCACCAGACGATGCAAGAGCGCCGCTATCAAAATATGTTTAGAGAAGAAGAAATGAGCTCGTCACATGACCAAACAAATGTGCTCAAACCAAGCCCCCATAATTCTGGTCTGGATATGAAGCAAAACAGGAAGTGACAAAAAATGCAGTTCCACCCTCATCCACTAGGGGCTGGTGTCAGAAGCGAGCAAATCCTCATTGACTCCCATGTTAAAAATACCAATTCCACAGCAGAAATAAACATATTTACAGCCTGGTTCCAAAACATGTTTTAGGTTTAATAGATCTAGTTTACACTCATGACAACTCAGAGGGGGGTGAATTTTTTTCATCACTCTTCTGTTTAAGTGTATTAAAAGCCTAAAATTCTGAATAATTAATGAGCATCAGACCCACGTGACTGCAGAGCTAGCTCCGGGGAAGGCCTTAGCCTGAGCCGCTGCCTCGCCTTAAAACTGTTCCGCCATTTTCAATCTCTCAACTTACACCAATAGTTGGGCTGTTTGTGCGTTCTTTTTTTTTTTGGATATTATTTATGCAATTGTTGGACAAATTACTTGCTGTGGTATTAGTTTCACTAATGGAGCATCCAAGGAGTCTCCACTTCATTATTTTCGGTAAGTAAAATTATATTTACGTATTTATGTCGATGATTTTAAGTCACTGCCACTCTTGCACTAGCTGAGCTTAGATTTGAACATGTACTGTTTAACCATGACATGAAATTTAATAGGGTAAAACCCAGTGCATTTAACATAATGCTGTATTTTTGAAAATGGGTTGAAATCTGACATGTTGGTGGAGCTGGATTCCGACTATTGGTATGGTCTCCCTTCCCTCAGCGGCAGCTCGGCCCATCTCTGACCGCAGCTGCGCCACCTGGTTTTACCCAGCGGTCAGCCCGGCGCATCTCTGACTCAGAAGCTTCGGTGTTGTGCACAGTTAACTCCGGTTGTAGCTAGGTAGCTACCTCCGTTAGCTTAGCTCCCACCTCCGCGTTATCTTTGGGTTAGCTTGTAGCTACATCGCTTCAGTTTAACGGGTGTCGTCATTCGATCCCAGCCTTACAGCCCCACGCTCAGCTCCACCTCTTTTCCCTTTTATGGAATTGTCTGGGCCACCTCCCATTTTGGCACAAAAACATAATTGAAGCCTATGGACACGAACTGTCCAGTATATATCTTGATGGCTCAAGCATGAAGCAGTCAGCAAAGAGCACTGCATGGGAGCAGTTTATTCGTCGCTATTTCATTCTTGGAACACAATAAGCTTCACATCAAAGGTGCCAGAACATGGTGCAGCAAACTGAACCGAGACCAGCAACAGCAGGTCAGTCGGCCATGACGCTCCTGCTTGCATCTGACTCCTAATTTAGTAAAATAAAGACGTGTCTGTGTAATCATTTAGTTCAATGTAAGGAAGCTAAAGTGTTTTGTTTTTTTTTAAACAGTGGCCTTCAGAATGTGCTCATCAGCACACAAGCACCGCTGTGCAATTGATGCCAGACGGACCGCTTCGCAACAATTTCTGAGTCTGACGAACATTCCAGCTCTCATCCCACTCTCTCTTTACTTCTTGTTCATGAATGTAACGAGTGTGGGACTTTAGTCGTGTCAGAAATACATTAAAAAGAGTAGACGGAAAAAGGCGTTAGTAGCTATAGAGCGAGGGCAAATGCTTGCGTGTGTCGTGGGTGGGTGGGTGGGGGGGGTGGGGGGTGGGGGTGGGGTGCGGTTGGTTGGTTTCAGGTTAACTGGCTATTAACCATTAACCTTCTGGGACCAAAACTTGTATTTGGTTTGATTTAAAATAAAAATAATATCTAGCTATTACAGATTAGTCGACTGTAATCAACAGAAACAAAGTTACAAAAATTTAAATTCAATAAAAATTTACTTGATAAAAATGTTGTCAAATACCCTAAAAAAGAAAGACAACAAAAAAAATGTTCAATTAAAGTCATACAAAGTGTCTATAAATAATAACAAAAAGGTCTAAGTAGAAGAGAATAAAATTTTAACGTGCAAGGAGCCAATGTCCACATATGTGGACACAGGGCCCTAGGAGGTTAAGGGGCATCGATAACAGGTTAAAGAACTTTTGGAAAACTTTTTCTGCAGAGCCTGAAAAGCTGCTGAACATGTGATTCAACCACTGAATCAAGTGTGTTGGAGCAGAGAAACCACAAAAACATGCTGGATACCGGCCTTACCGGACCAGGATTGGGTATCCTTGGTCTAATGTCTCGATGTTATCTGGATGATAAACCAACAACAGCCTACCCCGTCACGTGTCAAGACGGGTGACTCCATGAGCGTTAAGTGACAGTGTGACGTAGATCTGTCCGGAATTGCTAATCCCAGATTTTTACCATCTATTTTCTATCAGAAGCTAACGCAGGAGATAGACGTAGGAGACTATTTTCATGTTCAGCCCGCATGAAAAACTCAGAGTGACCGATTATAATCAGAAATATGAATTAAAAAAATGTTTTTCACCTTTGACAAATGTGATGGAGAAATTGCTAAAAACCCTCAGGGGGTTTATCAAGCGTCAAACTTTAAATAAACATCAACATCTGACAGTTTGGAAAATTCAAATTTTAAACTTGTAATTTTTTTCAGCTGCGTTTGTACATGCATTTTTTTTAACGTCAGAATAGTTTTCTTCGTTGCTGATAAGTGACTCCAATGAGACACAATTGTGACCTCATTCGACAATGAGAAACCATTAGCAGTGACTGGCACCTGCACTGACAGAACCGGGAGGGAAACACTGTTCAAAGTGAATTCAGAGGCTCAGAGGGATGAGCTGAATCCCTTAACTGGAGTAGATAACATCTCCCGACTCATTCAACTTTATTGAGCTGTGTAATCAAATAGAATGAAAGTATTGTTGGCTCACTTTGAGAGCTCTGTGATATGAGCATGGTTGTTAACACAAAGAGCACTGAGCTTACCCTTACAATATCAAAATGGTCCAATCTGTTGAAGGAAATGAAAAAAGCTTTTCTAAAGGTGCAAGTTTGTCAGAACTGGACCCAATCTGGATATGGAAAGGGGAAAAGCAACAGCTGTTTTAGTTTGACAACATCCCAGAGAAGTTGCGTTACATAATTCTATTTTTTGCTCAGAGGAGGACTTGATTAACTGGATCAGAGGAAACCATTGACGTGTTTCCCCTCTGAAGGTGTTTTCAAGCCTCCATTCTGGCAGAAAGATCAGGAAAATGTCCAGTGTTCATTAACCACAGCAAAGGATGAGGAAGATTAAAAATGGCTGAACCAGCCGGAGGACCAAACATGATCCTCCTTTCATGAGCCCCCCTGGAAACATGTCGCCTGATGACAGACTTTGACTTCTTCAGCTTTGCTTTGGGACAAACAACAAGCGGGCTACAATAAAGATTCAGGCTGTTTCTGATTCATTTACACTAAAAATCAAAAACAGCGAAAATGTTGTTGATTCCCTAATTATACGTTATGTTCATCTCATCCTTGGTTGTGGTTGCATCAGAAATCTTAATGAGAGCTTGTTTCTTGTTATTTTCAATGACATTTTCAAACTGTGAATGGATTATGCAGATGTGTAATTGTTTATATATATATATATATATATATATATATATATATATATATATATATATATATATATATATATATATAAACATTTGAGACAATATAACATTCAAGAGTCAGAATAGTTTTCAAACAGGGTGACCACAGGGGCAGTCAAACATCAACAAGTCACAAAAAAAGCACATTTCCTGTCAGACATGGTGTTAGGTGAAACCTGGCTTGCAGAGTGTAATTTATTTGCATAGATCCGAGGCCAGAGGGTTGATGCTAGCTGCTGCCAAAGGGGGTGAGGTGCTGCGATGGGAGGGGGTTGGGCGAGGGAGCCCAATGAGGGAGCCTAGGATTCAGAGGATGTGCCCCCAGCATAGCATGTCTAGTTAGATTATTGCAAGAAAGGTGTGGAGCTAACCTTGGGGATGGCACTTTATCCCGACTACTCTGTGAGTTAAGGCGAAGAGAGCTGCAAAACAAGTAGCCATACAAACAAAGATTGTTGGCATTGATTAGTGTTTTGGGGAAAACAAACATGAAGTTGAAGTGAATTTTACAAACAAACACTCCTGGGAGGCAACCCAACATGCAAACAGAATGTGGAGTTCTGGAGTCACACATGTTCCATTTGTGTCTCTAGACAGTAAAACCAGAGATGTTTAAAGCTGTGAAGGTTACTTTAGCTCCCTCCAACAGACCTGGCAACATGTAATCAATAAAAGGATACATATAAGTGTTTATCTGGAAAAGCATGAGGCAAAAAAAAAAAAAGGTTTGAGTCAGTCTTTAAAAATTTAGTATTCTTATGTGGAAGAAAACGATCCTCGGAGGTCTTGAGCCTAATAGCAAAAACAGATTTTTATTGTGGGGAAAGAGAAATTCACTGGAAAGAGAGTTTGATCACGCTCACCTGAGGCTGTGCTTAAGTCACAGGGCTTCTGAAGATGAACAACAACAATAAGACTCGATACCTCAACTGTTTCTCCTTATGTTTGTATAAATAAAATTCTATGTATTATACACACATATATACATGTATATATATATATACATATATACATGTATATATGTATATATATATATATATATACATGTATATATGTATATATATATATACATATATACATGTATATATATATATATACATATATACATGTATATATATATATATGTATATATATATACATATATACATGTATATATGTATATATATATATATATGTATATATGTATATATATATATATATATATATACATATGTACATATATACATGTACATATATATATGTATATATGTATATATATATATATATATATATATATATATATATATATACATGTATATATGTATATATATATATATATATATATATATATATATACATATGTACATATATACATGTACATATATATATGTATATATGTATATATATATATATATATATATATATATATATACATGTATATATGTATATATATATATATATGTATATATATACATATGTACATATATACATGTACATATATATATGTACATGTATATATGTACATGTATATATATATGTATATATATATATATATATATATATATATATATATATATATATATACATATACATGTATATATATATATATATATATATATATATATATATATGTATATATATATATATATATATATATATATATATATATACATACATATATGGAACTGATAAAGCTCTGAAGTCTCTTTTCTCTGTATAAGGGTTGGAGTAGTAGAGAGGAGTATTCGTAGGTAGTTTCTGCTCGTTAAGCAACAATAGACAGCTACAGTTTATGCTCAAATACTCGATTGTCAGTATTTTCATGCTTTTCTTGGCAATTTTTCGTTATAGTTGTTTGATAAAAAATAGTGTACACGTTTTCATATCATAAATATAGCATCATAGTTTATCACCATTTGTGGAAAAGCAATGTCTATAAAATACTTAGAAAAAATGCACCATCTCCACCTGAGCTGCTTTCTCACAGGATGCCTCCTTTGAAGTCCTTACTTATTCTAACTCCATCTTCAGTGAGAATCATATGGCTCTCTGGGTACCTCTGCTTTGTGTTGTGCTCCTTCTTTTATTGCCCACCTTGCTTCCTCAGCTTTACCTGCAGTGAACTCTTTTTGTGGAGACTTTTCCGGTCCGGTGAAAATGAAAGCAAGGCGCGCGCACAAGGAAACCGCTCATAAAATCATGATAAGGGAAATTAAACCGCGGTTTCCTTTCATTGCTCACTTGTTAGCTCACATTACCGATTCAAAAGTCTTGACTTAATCCTGTCCGCAGCATCCGTAGAAACAAAGCCCGCACTCAATCAAACTAATTCCTGCACCACCGTACCCTCTAGAGAAATAATAATGTGGGATCTGTTTAATATGGAGACGATATTCAACCCACTTCCTTCTTCCAAATATAGAGGTAATTAATACAGTTCCTAAAGTCTAGAGGAAACGGCAAACCTGAAAGCAAAGCTCTGATTTATGCATGTCTGAATAATGATAAATACCTGCAGCATTATTGTGTGTTTTAAGCTAAAACAAGGAGGTGTATTAATCTACATAACTGCTTAATATGTTATTTTTTTAGTTTGACTGTCTCATTTTTGTGCTTGGTGTGATGATTACGCAGCTAATGAATCAAATTCACTTCCCAGACAACAAAAGTGATCTCATTGCTATAAAAATGTTTTATTACTCAATGAACTGTGACAGATGTTCCTGTTTTGCTTCGTAAATGGGAGGTATATTGCAGTTCATGGGTGAACCTTATAAAATAATGGCCTATTGGCTTGTCCTATTGGAGCTGCATCGATGCAGGACTGACGGAGAATAAATGAAAATGTTTTAACTTCTTTTATTTAAATTTGCTTCTCACAGAAACCACAGTTTACTCCAATGAAAATGTTTCGATACCTCAGTATAAAAGTCTGTTGTGAAAGATAACAGACGGGCAAATTCAAGAGAAAAGTTTGACCAATTTGCTTAAATAAGGTGAGAGAAAAGCTGCATCAAAGTCGAGGATCCGTTTATTTTGGTAGCAGCTTCCATTTACATCAGCGTGAAAGTTCATGACCGATATACGTGTGGAGTCTAAGTAGACAGCCTGTCTCATCATTAAATCTGACTGCAGACCAGCTTCTGGTTTCTTCTAATGCAGCTGAGCAGACTTTGAAGCAAAAAGGTTGTTTGGACATTCAATTAAATTAAAGTTCATCTTGAAAGTTTTCCACTGAGAATAAATAAATTATTAGGAAATAAAAGCAGCAAAAGTTGTCTGTGGTTGTACTGAAAGGAAACTTTTCGTCTTTATATCTTTTTTTTGTTGTTGTAAATGATGAAATCAAAGAGTTTCTCCTCATGCCTTCCATGTAAATCTAGTGAGCGCTTTTCTTTTCTAACAGTGTGAAGTCGTTACTAATAATGAGTAAAATGCAAACAACCAGACTGTTTTCCTGGAAATAAAAGTCTAACCAATCTGTTCCGGATTTGTGAAAGTGACTCAGCCACTTAGCCTACCCAGAAAGATGCCAATTAGCTACAACTGAAGGTACAAACAATATATTCCACTTATAGAAGGTTTGGTATAATGTAGCTCTGCAGTAATTGAGGCAACAATTTAAAATTACTAAATTGTGTGTCTGATTTCTTTCTGCATATCGATACACAGCTGCTTTAAACTTTCATACTTTTGCAAAACAACATTTTAAAAATACCTTTACACTTATCGATGTCCTGGTATTTATTTTTTGTTATTTTTTTGTTTTTAAAGAAATACGTGAACAATTTATCAAACTAAAGGAAAATAACCAAAAAGGACAAGATGAGAGACAGTGAGACTAAAAATAAAGTTTTCAAGTAAAAACTGATGTTTAATTCTTGCAGCCAGGGATAATTGAAAACAGTTTCTTTGTGTCTTCTTCCAAATGCCACGTGGACTTGAAAAAGACATTTCTGTCTAGTTTGGTCTAGCAAAGACATACTGCTCTCTACACTGGCAGTAATCGTTGGAACTGCAGCACCGCTCCACAAAACCCCAAAATGTCACAATGTTGCTTTACTCTAAGGAATATTAATCAATTAAGGTAAGAACTAGAGATGCTCAGCATTGCCTTTTTAACCAATATCCGATACACTGATATTGTCTAACTCCTAATTTCCGATACTGATACAAAACGATACCGATATAAGTTTTTACTGCAAATATCGGCTGATATTAATGGTAGATCGATAATATCAAGCATCCCTTGTAGGAACTACCTTCAACGACCTTCTCACAGTGGGCAGCACGTTATGTTAAAGGTTCCAGATCATTCTATTTTAAATATTTGAGAGCAAAGGTTGGCACTGGGGATGTTTGATCACGTTTTTTTGTTTATTTTTTTGCTCCCGATCCAATTCAGAGTCAAATGATATTGAGTATTTGCTGACACCGAGTCCTGATCTGATGTTTTTCAGGAAAGCAAAAAATTTTTTAAAGAAAAATTCAGAATAAGAAGAAAACACATCCAAGTTCTCTCTTTAACTTAATTAGGAAGTACACTGATTAAAAATCATGTTTATAATATTATTCTATTTAAAAGTAGCAGTGTTGTTCTTATTTTCAAGTTGTTTACTCCCTCAATATGGAGCTTCGAGCGATGTGTGTTCCCGTGACGGAGCAGGCAGGCAGAGCCTCGGTAAGCAGGGTAACCTTTCCCTGCATAACACCTGTAGCTCCAGCACACAGCTCCGGTGCTGCAGGACAACTGGAATCCCCACGTTTTGAAGTCTGGTGGCAATTTTTCTTTGTTTATCAGCATATCTTTCTCTGTTGGCTGGTTCCTCATTTTATCTGACTTCACTGTGAACTGGGGCTGTTGGTGGCAAACTGGGAATTAATTGAGTACAGTGGTTTTCCTTGTTGGTGCCTGAAGAGAAAAGCTGACAGTGGAAGTAGTTTGAAGCAGGGGCGGATTTAGGACTGAAGAAGATCCGGGGCTTAACACAGACGCGCGCACACACACACACGTGACACACACTAGTCAACATCATATTTATTTGTCTTGTACCACATAATTTTTAATCTGAAGCTACATATTAAGCATATTCAGGGCAGAGTATTGTTCCTGTTAGTGTTTAGTGTGAGATGATAGTAAATATTCCCTTTCTTTCTCCAACAACTTTACCTGATAAGCTAACTTTAGGCAAACCAGCAGCACAACAAATATTTTCAAATAAGACTCACAAACCTGAGTCAACACCAGTCTCATCAAAGCTGGGGTTCTGTCGTACTTTTTGTCTAAAAAAACGTCCTTATGTCCATCTTCACTCATGCGTTTCAGGCAGAGTGTAGAAGAAGCCGGCTGCTGAAGGGCTTCTTCTTCAGTGGTGGAGGCTCAGGCAGGCTGTATACAAACTACTGCCAGCTGCTCCCTCTCTGTTGGACTTTGGTACTGCAT